CGTGATTACATACTTTTAGACCCGGCTCCCCTTTCCCCCCCAAAAAAGTTCATGAATCCGGGTAGCGGGCCAAGTGGGGAAAAAGGTCACACCAAGGAAAACTTTAAGGCCGAACGAATCACGGGCACAAAGAAATATCACCACACTACGAGAAGCAGTAGAGGCAGTAAAACATGACGTAAAAGAATTGAAAAGAGCAGAGGCCGGGCACGGTGCTCCGCCTGGTAAATCTAGCACTCTGGGGGGGCCAAGGCGGAATACTCGAGGGTCAGGAGTTCGAAACCAGCCTGGGCAAGAGCGAACCTGTCTCTCCATAAATAGAAGAATTAATTGGCCAACAAATTATATATAAGATAAAAAATGAGCCGGGCGTGGTGGTGCAGGCTGTAGTCCCAGCTACTCGAGGCAGAGTAGAGATCTCGCTTGACCCTGGAGTCTGAGGTTGCTGTGAGCTTAGGCTGACACCACGGCACTCACCTCTACCTGGGCAACAGGAGCAGACCTGACTCAAAAAAAAAAAATACAATAAAAAAATGAAAATAATAAAATAATAAGAAGCAGGAGAAACACCTGGAAGAGACACATTGAAGCCAGAACGGCAGTTTGAGAAAGAACCCATGGAAACAGTCTATAAAAACCTGACTGCCTAAAATGTGGTATAGTATACCATCGGAGCACTTTCAGCTCTAAGAAACAAACGGTGATATAGCAATCTTGTATTTTCCTGGCTAGAGCGAACCCAACTATAAGTGAAGTATCCAGAATGGAAAACAACACCACATGTGCTCACCAGCAAACTGGTATTAACTGATATCCACCTAAGTGGGACACATATTACTGCAGTAATAGGGTATTGGGCCGGTGGGAGGGTGGTATATAATACATAATGAGTGAGATGTGCACCATCTGGGGGATGGTCATGCTGAGACTCAGACTTGGGGGGGGAAGGGCATTTATTGAAACCTAAATCTGTAACCCCCATAATATGTCGAATAAAATAAAAAAAAAAAAAGTGACTGACCGAATATAAGATCCCCCAGTGACCAAAACCCTGGGGGACAGTTACCAGGAAGAGGCTGATGGTCAATAATTAATAATAAAAATATGTCTAGAAAACTCAGCAAAATTAAAGGGAAAGATGGCGAAGAAAACGGAAAGCATGAGGAGGAACACGAACTACTGGTATATCATGATAATCCAAGAGAGAACAAGAGAAACATGAAAATAATTACTAATTTTCCAGCAAACATCA